ACTATTTGTGGAAACTGCTGAGTCACATTACAGATATTTCTGGAATATTACAGATTATAAGATAATTCTAGAAAAGTCTGGAATTGCATGACAGATAAACTAAAAATAATTCTGATCCTCTGTGACGTTTACTTTGAAAAAATTAGAGTACTTCACGCATTACTAAGACGTCACTTCAAAACTTGCAGCTAGATTAATCTGTAGTCCTGCTGGATCCGAGACCTTGAGGAAGTATGAGGCACTCTTATTCAGAAATTTTGATTATCAGGGGGGTCGGCCTTATGGGCCTTTTTGGTAGAAAATTAATCTGGGCTGTGTTCCCTGCATGTAGACATATTAAATTCTGCATGCAGAATACTGCAATGCTGATCGTACTACGTGAAAATTAACCCTGCAAGACATCAACACGACACCGAAAGAACTCAAAAAAGAGCGGGATTGTAGCCATAGACAGCTGTTTCGCCCTCTTTGGGGCTCGTCAGTATGGCGTAACAACCAGAGAAAGCTATGTTCCCTGTACCGTTACCTAGATCCGGCACCGTGTACATGTTACACTACATTATATAATTTGACACCTAACTATAGGAGCCCATCGCTCCTGCCAACTCCTGTTTAATCAATCAAAATGTTACCAATTAGTTTTAAAGCTTTAAATGAACTTGCTCCGCCATGCGTTACTGGTATTCAACTTGTCAGTATTCACCTTTGCGTTTGCCGGATTATTGGAATTGGAGTTATTGTGGCAGTTCTGTAAACGCGTGACACGTTGAAGCCGGAAGCTAAGTTCCGAAACTCTTTCGGTTTTGTTTTAAGGAATAAAGCAAGCCAGAATTTTTTTTCAAAAGCCCATTGTTTTAATCAAAGAGTTTACTCACAGGTTTTGGATGTGAGCTGATCGAATGAGCATCTTTCCTATCCTAACCGTTTACTTCGGCTTATGCTAAGTGTCATCATCAATTCACAAACCGTTTGCCACCATTCGTCAGTGAGACTGTAAACTCTCTGATCAGAGAACTCCAATCAGCAAAACTTACTTCTCCGAAAGTTCCTCAAACAGGGATTTTGTCGGCTTATTGAGTTTCCATACAATGTGAATGGAAGAACTGAAACTAACCTTCAAAGTAAGGCCAATGGCCACAGTGCGAAGGGCAGTTAGTTTCAAGTTGTCTAAGGATCCTTGAGAATTGAGAACAAAATAAAACACGGCAACGATACTGCTTTCCAGATAGGCAAAAATCATGCACACGCTAATGTAGAAAACGTAGCGTGTGACAAAGTTGTGCTTGTTTAAAATAAAAATGAAAAGCATATTGCACACTGTGCAAACGGTGTTGTAAGTTGCGAAAAAACTAAAGATGTCTAATGAGGTACATAATGGCACCACTACAGCTAGAACCAGCAAAGAAATGTTTGAAGCAAACCACTCGCTACGAATAAGTCTTAAGACGTTGATAGGAACAACCCAAGTGGTAGTACAAGCCAACCGACTGTACAGTAAGAAACAAAATATCTGCAAAGGTGACCACAAAAGCAAAACAATGTACAAAAATGTTCGAAGCGTCACCCTATCTCTTAGCGGGTCTGTCACCCTGTCTCTTAGCGGGTCTTGTGTGATAAAAAAAACAAAAGTAGGAAAAACCCTGTGATCAAATCTAAAAAAGGAGAAGCTTCCACAAGATATGGAAATCGGAAGAGCCGCAATAAAAAGCATTAGGTAAGAAAAACACATCACCCCTTTGCAAAAGAACTTTTTGAAACTCGTAACCACACTTTGATTGTGCCGTGGTAGTCTTTTAAATTCAACAAGTAAAGGCTGTTCCTCACTGCTTTGGCTCAAAACTTCTCGTCCTGGGTTTCTTCCTCTGGACTCTTGGTAATTTGAGGCCAACGGTTCCTCAGTTCCATTTTCACCTTCCTCCATGGTTCGAATTTCATTTTCAGCAGCATTTCCTCCGTTTTCACTTGCTCGCTCTTCACCGACCCGTTGCTTTTCTTGACTGTCAGACATCCAACAAAATTTCCTTGTACGTCTCATCCACTCGAGAGTAATTAAAGGTCCAATAAGAAACCAAAAATATAGTCTTTTTAAGTAAGACTCCATTTTCCTCAAATAATCTGTTTTTTGACCATGAGTGGGCGAACACAGAATGTCAACATCAGTTCGATCTGCATAGGAAAAAGTTCTCTTTACCTCACTTACATTGGTCTTCTCGTCCACCGTTGCCACTGGGATCATTATCATTACCTTGTTCTTCACTCTAGAAGTCGCTGTAGCACAACAATATATCAACATAGAGTAACCTGCATTTTGTACATTTTTGGCAAGGTCTTGTATAGTACATGTAGTTTGATCATTCTGCATGAGTGTGACAAGAGCGATTTTGTGAACTTGATTCTTTGCTTTGCTTACATCATCCAGTGTTTGACACGCGTTTGTGAGGTTCAAATACACAGCGAGACCTTTCAGTGAATTGTCTGTTGTTGATGCCTGAATAAAGGACTCGACAGAAGGTGAGTTAAATTCATAGATTGTTCTAGTGTCTAACAACATTAACTCTGGTACTGCTGGTGGCGGTTCCATCTCATACCACACCTTCAATATCGGCTGCCTATGGCGGTAATAAATGTTGATCAGGCTCAGCCATGGCCAAAAAACACAAAACACTAGCATAACAGATATGACCACGAAGTAAAGGCAGCTCTTGATTACGAAGCACTTTTTCGTCATCTTTGAAAGCGGGCTGTTCATCGAGTCATGTCCAGTAATGCGATAGCCAAGCAAGTAATCACACGAGAGAGTCACGAGCGGCACATGAGAGTCACGAGCGGTTAAAGTGTAATTTTACGCCGCGGAGACATACATGGCCGCCTAGTCACGTGGTTGCAAACCAAGAATAAAGCGTTTCCCTAAAAAAGGGCGAAAAGCCCTGTCATAGGCCTTGGTTACAAGCAAGATTGCAAGTAAGGCTTTTCCCCAGCCTCCTGCCCATAGCTTGCGCGGTTAATCCAGACGTGTCACTCAAAAACTGTGTAAACTCAGCCTCGTACCCAGGCCAGTTCGCGCTATCTGAGTGACCAGAGGAGGCTTGGAACCGAGCGCGATAGCGAACTTTCCCGACAAGCTTGACAGGTGACGTCACATCCGAAATCGCCGAGGACGACTGGGAACGAGGCTGGTCAGGCTACCCGCCCAGGCCAGTGTATTTCTTAGAAACAGAGAAAAGGTCACCGACAGTACGACAGGACTGAGTGTTCCGGTCTGTCCGGTGTGCGCAAAGGCCACAGCTTTATTTCTTGTCGAAAACTGACTCGCAAGAAATACACCAGATACACTCACTCAAAAATACTCAAGCGGTGGTGTTTGTTAACTTGGCGGCTATGTTTTAGTGAGTGCTTTCATTTTTTAACTTGATTAGAGCGGTTTTCATTTGAGTGTCGAAAAGTAATTGGTTTTGCACTTTCTACACGATGCGATTGGCTTAAAAGATTCGCGCCACCTTTTCATCCAATCAGAAGTAAAACCAAAGCCAATTGTGACGCGCTCGCATGCATTTTCCCGCGCTTTGCGTCAGCCACATGTAATTACTTCGAGTTTTGATTGGTTCAATGTATTGTCTGTGTCCTATGTGATTGG